TAGGACAGATGGGCTGCATGGGTAGGTGGGAGTTAATGGTTGTAAGTCATACTCAGAGGTGAGGTTTTGTTTCACCCTATTAATAATCAATGTTATAGAAAAGTGTTAAACATGACAAATAGAAAAAGAAGAAGGAGGAGGAAGAGGAGGAAGAGGAGGAGGAGGAGAAGGAGAAGGAGGAGAAGGAGGAGAAGGAGGAGAAGGAGGAGAAGGAGGAGAAGGAGGAGAAGGAGGAGAAGGAGGAGAAGGAGGAGAAGGAGGAGAAGGAGGAGAAGGAGGAGAAGGAGGAGGAGGAGAAGGAAGAGAAGGAGGAGAAGGAGAAGAAGGAGGAGGAGGAGGAGGAGAAGGAGAAGAAGGAGGAGGAGGAGGAGGAGGAGGAGGAGAATTAGATCCAAGAGACCTAGGTTCTAGGCCTGGATTGGCCATGACTGGTCAGCTTGCTTTAAACAAGTATTTGATCTAATGTCTTCGTTTTCCTAACTGATAATTGGGCACAATTATCTCACCTTTTCCAATTTTACAAGGATGTATATTTACATATAGTGTACAAATAGGCATACCATGAAAAGCAGAAAAGTGTTAAGTAAATGCTAAGTATTTTTTAATAGAATTGGCATTCCCCTTTCAGGATTAAAAGCTTTATCTGAGGGACATAGTTCCTGGACTGTGGATCCTCCTGGTGGTTAAATCTTCAGACTGCTTCTCTCTTACCTGAAAGCCACAATGGACTCTTGACAGAAAAACTCTTTTCTTGTATATATTGCTCACATTTTTCATTGAAATTGGTTTCATTTATTTATATTTTATGTAGGCATGTTTTACTCTTAAAGCCCAGGTTATATGGATATGCATGGCTTGTATTTTGACACTTCAGTATCCAAATGTCATAAATGGCTTTTGACATATCATAAATGTCATGTTACATCCTAGAGCAATGTTTGTTTTTAGTAAATTTCAGATTTTTTTCTCTTTTTTTAAAATAGCAGAACAAAATGCCTGGATTGGCTCTATAATGCTCTAGTGTCAAATAATTGTGAGAATGGAAATTGCTGTACTTTCTGGGGCTAAAACTGGTTCTGTGCTACTTTCTGTGGCATTATAGAATACACTTAATTTAATATTGGGCATAGCTTTGTTCTGAAGAAATGAGTGTTTGCAAATTAATATAGAAAATCAAGTATTAAAATGCTTGAAAAAGTTAGGCTATTAATAACAACTAAGTTATTCAAAGTTTTTGTACTACTTTTATTCAGTTGTGAGTTAGTATCAAGTAGAAATCTAGTGAAAAGCCTTCATAGTATTTATATCTTAGTTCTCTCATATAAATGTATTTATATCTTAGTTCTCTCATATAGTATTTATATCTTAGTTCTCTCATATAAATGGTAATATGGACATGCTGAGGGCCATTAAATCAAGGTAAAAGAGTTTGGAACTCCTTGGATAAGTAGTAGAAAAGTAATAATAATAATAAATGCATTTATGGACACTGAGCTAAGAATCATACTTGTAATGTTATATTTACTTCCACCACAATTCATGAGGTTGGTATTATTTTTCACTATTTTACAGTGGACAAAACTGAAGCTCAGAAATAAGAAAATGCAAGTCATATGTGCAAGAGTCATTTTCAACTTAGGTCTATCAAACCTCCAATATGTGCTTTTTTCAGCACACCATTCTGCTTATACATCAGTATTTGAGGGCAAGGGATCAACTTTAATGAGAATCACAAACTATATTTCAGTGATTTTTGAAGAGTGTTGAGAAGGAGAAATTACATTAATTTCAAATAAGAAATTCTGTAGGTTTTCTTTGTAAGATACCTATGTTTTCTCAAAGTGGTGGTGTATATTATGAGGAAAAACCTTGTAATTATTCTTGATTGGTTGAGACTTTTATATGTTAGCAGAAAATCTTGAGGAGAGTGAGAAATGGAATAGTGGTGTTTTACAGTGGTGGGGCCTTGTCTGCCATTTCTGAGTATCCACATTTATTGTTAAGTTTATCTTCCATTGTCACTCTTAAGTTCAGTTCATACGATAATCCCCTCACCTAGTTCCTTATGAATCAAATGCAAATGTAACATAAAAATTGAATATAATTATGGAATGCATTATGTCTTTAATATAATATGAAGTTTCCCTAATTTGGGGAAGCATTCTACTAACATTACTTGCACTTTCCTTATTTCTTGCAACCTATTTCTTAGCTAATTTTTGTAAAAATATCTTACTCAACCTAAGATATTTTTTAGAGGTTTTTGTTGTTGTTGTTGTTGTTGTTGTTGTTGTTTGTTTTTAAACAAGGTCTATTTTTTTAGGGAGGCAGCACAGCTCAGATATGCTTTGACATTTAAAGTCATAAAGATTTTGGTTGAAATCTCAACTTTGCCATATGATGTTCTGTGCATTTTTTAACATTACCAAGTGTCAGTTTCTCCATCTATAAATTTTGAGTGATAATAGACCATAAATGAAATAACTTTTGAAGGAAACAAATAATACTTTAAAAAGAATTATTGCATAGTTATATAGCAGGTATTGAACAGATTGTTGAATATTGAGTGTTTGTAGTTTTTAATATTTTTAGTAAACAATTACTCCCTACCACATGTTGTAACAAGATTATAACAAGCAAAAATGATCTGAAACCATCCTAACATTTTTTTTTTTTTTGCCTCTCTATCTATGTAAGAATCTAAGAAATCATTGTCTTGGGCCGCATTCTGAGGATATTTTCTCCCATGAATACCTGGAGTCTGTATTCATGGCAATCATTATATTTGGCCTCCAAAGACCTTACAACAATATGGGTTTCTTTCTCACTGAATTCTTGGAATGAGATCTAGCACTTTTGATTTAGACCCTCAAGACATAGCTACAATGGCATGTCACTTTCCACTGCTTCAAAATATGATGATGCAAAAACTTTATTCCAGTTTATACTTTTCTCCTCTTCTACCTCTTCCTCTAAGTACTTCTGATCTCTAACTCTACCCCTTGATAACTGTCAATCCATAGCTAACATGCATTCTGAATTACAACTAGTTACATTGATTTCTGGTGCCACTCAGCAAATAGCACTGAGTCTTAAGTTTTTAATCTAGAAGACTTGCATAACACTATATGAGAAGTCTCTTATGAGACAAAGTCTTTTAAAGCTTATAATAAGAAATACGCGTATGTGATTCTTCCAAGAGTAAATAACAAATATGCACCACTACTGTAGGATATTCATGGGAATATTTGGAAAACAGCAGTTTTTCTTCCTACCCCAGTGTTCTTTTACACTTGAAGAGGAGTGTCATTTCACATCTCTTTTGGATTTTCATTATCATTACTCTGAAAATTCTGACATAGACAGGGAAGAAGGATGATCAACAAAGATATCCAAGTTCTAACCCTCAACCTGTGAATGTTAGTCTAGTATCTAGGAGGAGTTAAGTTTGCAAACAAAATCAATGTGCTAATCAACTAGTCTTAAAATAGAGAGATCATTACAGATTATCTAGGTGATCTCAATGCAATCACAAGCATCCTTAAAAGTGAAAGAAAGAAGTATAAGAAGAGAATTATACATAGATGTGACTGTGGAAGAAAGTCACACACACACAAAAAAATACAATATTGCTGGCTCCAATCATAGAGGAAGGTGACCATAAGCCATGGAGGAACATGGAGCTAGAAAAGGCAAAAAATTTGATTTTTCCCTGGAACTTCTGGAAGAAATGCAGCCTTGCTAGAACCTTGATTTTAGCCAGCAAGACCCATGTCAAGACTTCTACAGAACTGTAAGACAAAAAAACCGTGTTTAATTTGTTTGGTAATTTGTTACGATGACCAGTTAAATTAATCCCCATGATTTCTTCCCTTTTCCTGTAAGAAAAGAGGAATGACAAGTCAGTGAGCTTTACAGGGGTGTTGAAGGGGGAGAGTATAATGAGGGCAAAACTAGAAGAGACATTATTAAGAGATGTTAATTTCTCATGTTCTTCCATATTCTCATTGCATCTCTTCCTAAGTGCTGCCCAAAAAGTGCTTGTTTGAAAATCCATGGAGGCATCCTTTCACCGTTTATAATTGAAATAAATTATAATCTATACCATTAGAAAGAAAAGTCCTTGCCTTCTTCCAGAAAAAAAAAAACAAAAACAACAACCAAAACAGATTAACATAAGAAAATAACTATTTGAACCATCTATCTATGTTGAAACTGTTATACCAAAAAAAAAAAAAAATGTGTATTACAGTTTTATTTAATTGCATCATAACAATTTGTTCAAATGATCCCTGTTAAAAGAAATGGGCTTCTGAGTAATCTTACTACAAATCTTAAGAAAAATGAGACATATAGTCTTGCTTTAAATCATATATGATTGCTTCTTTATCATTTATAAGGGCTCAAAGATACTTTTGGAGGGTTGAATGCTGCCATAAAATATTGTGCTTACAAATGAATACCGTAGATAGAACTGAGCAGGTGAAAATCTTGAATAAATGGTCAGTCTATACAGTCTGCTTAATACAGTAAGCATGATAAACTTCTGGGAGGAGCACTTTGACTTCTAATCTCTCTGTCTGACACTTTTTTTTCCTTCTACATTTTTAAGTTAAATGTCGTAATGAGTATTCTAATATGTTTGAACTAATCACTAGCAGTCATTGGTAAATGGAAGTAATTATATAATTTATACAAAACATCTAGAGTGTAGAAGATATTTACTGTCTTTGATACAACTATAAAACATTTGAATAAAAATTTTAAATTTTGAAATAGTTTCTCAAAGTAGTGATGGTCCTAACAGTTTTTTATGATATGTTGTCGACATTTTGATAATTGTATTTTGGGGGAGAGTTTGGGAAGAAGAGATGAAGAAAGAGAGGGGATGATTTCCTTTATTCAAAACATAAGGTAATTTCTATAATTTTAGACATTATTTAAGGAGAATATGGAGCACAGTGTGAAAAAAAAAAAAAACTCTGTTTTTCGTGCTGCAGAGAATCTTGGACTGGATCCTGAAGTTGCTAAAGCAAACACTCTAGGTTTTGTTGGATGCCTGTCTTCAGTCCAGTACAACCATATAGCACCACTGAAGGCAGCTCTGCGTCATGCGGCCATCGCTCCTGTAACTATCCAAGGAACCTTGATAGAATCCACTTGTAGCTCTATAATGGATTCGGATGTCAATGCAGTGACTACAGTGCATTCTTCATCAGGTATACAAATGAATACCCCATGGAACTTATCTCAGTAGTACTACACTTGATATCTTTGAGAAGCTTCTAAGTTAAAAGCTAATGCTACTCAATACCTTATCTTGTATGAATATAGGTTGTTAAGAATCATGACTGATTTCTCATGGGGGATTTTCATATATATTTAATATAATTCTACTTTTAATAGGATGAATACTTAGAATGAAATGCATATTTGCATATATTACTATATTGATATATATATAGTCACTACCATATAAGTGACTACTTCTCTGAGGATTGAAGAGTTTGGGTCTCAGGAAGGCAGGCTGGTTGTTGACCTAATATAAGTCATGTTATTAAAATCGACCTTTCTTAATAGTAGGAATGTCCACTAGCACTGTTTCTTCTGTTTTTCCACTCCTTAAAATACCTTTTCATCTTTTCATAGTCACCATCATCCTGGGTATGCTGAAGTGTCCCTGAGATTTGTTTTAAATAGGCATGGTAATCAATTGCCAAATAAGTTATGAATTCTGAACAAAGAAATGGGATTGAGTTTTGCTGCTGCCTGTACATCTCCGATCTTGGGGTTTTCCTGCAGCAGTGAACTGTAATAGAAATAACTTGATTGTGACACTTGGCTAGCCTTGATTTGAATTCTGAATCTGCTATGAATGGACTGTAGAACTTTGAGCAAGTTAATGGCTTCTATCTAATTTCTTATCTGTGAAATAAAAAATACTAATAATACTCGTGTCATAGTCATTTTCTGAAAATTAAATTATACAACAACAATGAGAAGAGAAGTCTCATATTTTTAACTCCTTTTAGATCCCTTTGGGAAGACAGATGAGCGGGAACCACTCACCAATGCAGTCCGAAGTGACTCGGCCGTCATTGGAGGTAAACTATTCCTTGCTGATGAAAGCAGAAAAGACATAAGTAGTTCTGTACTTTGGAGAAATTCATCTGAATCCTTCCTTAATTATGGCCATTCAGTGTCCTCTTATCTGAAAGACTGTGAGCCTTTTCATGAATAGTTATATGTGTTATATGATCAAAAGCTCCCTTTCTCCCAGCACCAGCAGTTCCATGGACGCTTCCCATCTCTGATTCATCGGGCAGCTGAATATTGAATCAACAGCTGGATAATTTACCTAGAGACAGGCAATATGCATCATGTTCAGCTCATCCAGTTGTCAGTTTTCCTAAAACAAGCAAAGCAAACCAATAAAACTACATATGCGAAAGGAGCCACATTGGGGCAGACAGATGAGCAAAGCTGCAGTCCTGTCAGGTTTTTCCTACCAAGTGATTTGGGTTGAATCTAATGAGCAGGGGAAAGCCTATGGACTGTGGTTTTGAATCCAGCAGCACACATAGTTACAGATGCAGCTCTTGTCCATTCTGCTATGAGCTCAGCTCTTCCTCCAGCCTTCCTAGACTTTCCATTTTCCATTTTCTCAGTGCCTGTCAGCCTCACCTGTTTTGATTCTGCCTCTACTTGGCTCCAGTAGCCTTGATTTTTCCATCTGATTCTTGCAACACAGAATGCCTCCCAAACCTTGTTTAATGTCAGATGCCTCTTAAAAACTACATTCATTTCCACCTAAGAACCACTGTCCTAGCAGGTGTCTCTATCCCTGCCTTCTGGCAGCTAGATGAACTGATCCAATCAGATGGAGTTCTCGGTTTAAAAGTTGGCAGTATTCATTCATTTAACCTCTGTTTAATAAGTCCCAGTTCTGGGTCAGGGCCTGTGTTTAGTGAAGAAATATGAGGATGAAACATAGGCATTGCTCTCAAAGAACTCATGGCCTGGGGAGGGACAGGCTGGGCAAACAGACAACAATAGAACCAGTGAATAGTGTTCTGAGAGGGGGAGTACGCATGGCTGTGGGAGCACAGAAGTGCAGCATCACAATGAGATTGTAAAGAAAAAAAACCTGACCTTTTCTTACAGAAGTTTTTAAACCATCTGACCTGAATGTCTGCTTCAGGGAAGAATCCAACTTGGTTTATTGTTTGGCATCGAAAAATATACAAAGGAATTTGGTGCCTGATTTTTTTCCTTTAATTAATTTCTCATTTGACAAGTGGAGAAAAGACTTTTGTGACTGCTGACTTTTCCCCGCCCATGTATGTGATCCTGTGAGTATCTTTACGAGCAGGAAAATCATCCCAACCCCAGGGGGAAATTCCTGGAAGGCTGCACAGCCTCCAACTCTGAATAGTCCAGGTATTGAAGAAGTAGAAACCAGTTCTATAGTTCATCTCTTAAAACTTCAGCTCATTACTGGGAGTCATTCACTACCATCCAGTTTAATCATAGGTATGTTAACTTAGGAGGTTTTACTCTGCCTTTGTTCTAAAATAGTTGGGGAAAACACCACATACTGTTTTAGGAATATTTTAAAAGGCAAGCAGTCTTAATCATGTCCTCAGCTCTGATACAAACTGGTTGAAGACATATATTCAATGTATTTAACTCTCTAACGTTCATGCTTATATAAATCATAATGCAGGGTATTCAAAGTTTACTTTGGAAAATAAATATATTTTTCTCAATGCCTATTCTACTTAGATAAAAAAAAATCAGCAGAATATATACTTTATTAAGAATAAACTTATCTTTGAATATCATAATTAGTTTTCAAATATTTTAATGTTGAGAAACCAACATTTATGTGTAGATGCACCCTCTCTTTTCAAAGTTGGCAGTATCCACATTTTCAACATCTCTTTGCTGACTTTGCTCTATACATCCCAAGAGCCTTCCTGGCAAAGTTAGGGATAAGACCTTAGGATCAGCAAGGGCAACTTGCCAAGTAGGTCTAGTAAATTCACATACAATCAAATCTTATACAATTGGACAGAAGCTTGTGTTTAAGTTGAATTTGAGTTTCTGGAAGACAGAGGCATACCACCTCTGAGCTAGCTGGCCTGTGTCTAGTAGTGTGCAGAACAATGTAGGAATGCTCTAAATGTTTAGTAAGCATTTTGTTATGAATAGAACATTTTATTAAAACAAACATATATCATATCCACATTTGCATCAGGAAAGCATTGTTGGAATGTGAGATATTTAAATATTATTTTCTAGGATACTAAAGTAGTTCTAAAACACTCGTTTGAAAGGTGACAGAGAAATGTGCTAATTACAAATGATTGACACATTCTTTCAAGCATGTCTTGAAGAAATTTAATAAAAAACACATTGTTAGTCTGATTTCATATTTGTTTGATGGTATTTTTAGTTCATTAAATAAAACCACTGATTTAAACTGCTTTCTCCCTAGCTAGTCTGGAAGAGGATTTTAGTAATTGGAGATTGAGAGTATATCAGCTGGTCTTTATTTCTAGGCAAGTGGCAAAGTTTGTGTTTGTTTTGTTATGTTTTGTTTTATTTTCTCCTAAGTGGCTTTTTTTTTTTTTTTTTGCTTAGACTGAATTACATCTCTGGAGTGGATGATCTATGATAATATCCTTCTCTCATTTATCCCCTTTTTCAACAGGAGTGATCGCAGTGGTGATATTCATCACCTTCTCCATCATCGGCATCATGACCCGATTCCTTTACCAGCATAAGCAGTCTCCTCGTACTAACCAGATCAAGGAGAAAGAATACCCAGAAAATTTGGACAGTTCTTTTAGAAATGATATTGACTTGCAAAACACAGTAAGCGAGTGTAAGCGGGAATATTTCATCTGAAAAACTGTAAGATTACCTAAAACTCTTTTGTTGATGTTAATTTTTTTCTCCTCTCCTCTTTCTCCTGTCTTTTAATTCTGTTCATTCTCTTTCTTTTATTCATTTGCCATTTATTTTTGGAACATACCTGCATTCGCCACAGTATTTATCCCCTTGACTCAGCCCAGAAGACCAGGCAATTATGGCCATTGTCTTCCTCTTGACAAACCTATTGTGGCCATAATGATCGCTCAGTAGACTGAGTTTACTACTCTAGACAAGGAAGACACACGTGCGCATGTGCATATTCAGTTCTGCATTTCTATTGTCTAAGATGAACTCTTTAGTTCCGCAGCCATTCAATCTGCAGGCTTACTTTGAACTTGAGCTCTGTGACTTAGGCATATAATAGTCACCTGTGACATCATCCCCCATCTCAAGTCCATTCCTACCAGGGAACTCAGGGTAGAAAAAGAAGATGCTAGACGCCTGATTTCCTTCATTGGCATGTTAAAGGGAACAAAAAAGATTTGTTTTGTGTTCATTTTCCTTACCATAAGAATCCCATTGACTTAACTCATAACCCTTTTTATGCTAACTCTTATCCCCTGAGTATTTTCAAATATAGGATTCCTGACAGTAGTGAGCTATCACTTTGCTCCTTTCTTACCACACTCTCCCGGCTCCAACAATTGAGAAGAGCAGACTCTAGCATAAAACTAGGGGAAGCATGGAAAATAGTAGCTTAAAACTAGGAGGTAAGAGTGCTGCTGGAAAGTAGATGTTCCATAACTTCAAAACGCCTCTTCCAATTTTGTAAGAAATGTTAGCTAGGATACTCTGGGGATTGTTATATTGAGGTATAAATATATTTACAAAAAAAAATCAAATAAAAGTCTAAAATAGTACCTGGTTCCATGAAAGAGATTAAGTCATCTTGAATCAGCTTAAAAAAAAAAAGAAAAAGAAAAAGAAAGAAAGAAAGAAAGAAAGAAAGAAAGAAAGAAAGAAAGAAAGAAAGAAAGAAAGAAAGAAGGAAAGAAAGAAAGAAAGAAAGAAAGAAAAGGAAAAAAATGCATAAAAGAAAAATAGCAGACAGAATTATTGCCTTCCATCTACTCACTAAAGATCTTGTGAAGAAAATGGCTGCAGGTTTTACATTTTAGAACAGACACAATGATCCACCTCTGTCCATCAAGCCATTTTCTAAGAGATTTAGAGTGCAATGACATATGAGGCATTATGGTAAGCTCCAGCGAACCCTCACTGCTTTACCTGAGAAGAGCCGTTAGGTTTTATAGTTAGCTCATCACATTTTCAAATCTGTTACATCCTATGTATATAAAGCTGCACGTGCGCGTGCACGCGCGTACACACACACACACACACACACACACGCACACACACACATATCTTTTTATAAGCATAAGTTGCCAGATGAGGTAGTGACAAATTTCTGGGTCTTTGCCCCTTTTGATAACAAAGCATAGAAGATACACAAGCATTCCTTCAGGAAGGCATCTTGAGCTCATCCAAGAGGTGGTGGTAAGAATCCTGATGATTTTGCTCTAGCAATATGCCTTGCTCTTTGCCTCTGGACTGTCTTGAAGAAAAAGATAAGGGGAAAACAATGTAAATGCTCCAGTATACTGGGACTGCCAATATAATGATCCACAGATGTGAAAAGTACTTGCTGATTCTTTTTATAAAACAGATTCAATTTGGAAAACAATTACCACATCGCTGTTTGACAGCCTTGACAGTTAGCATTCCATCTTGTTCTTAGTGTGTCTGTCACCTCTGAGTACTTAACACAGTCCTGCATGAGGAGGCTTGCAATGAGAAACTCATTAACTTCATCCATTTCAGGTTCATTTAAGGCTCTTCTTTCAGAGAATGTGTTGTAAGGATTTAGTTCATAATCATATTTCTCAATTTTAAGATGTTGTTCTAATTACACATTCTCTCCTTAAAATTTTCTCTGAATTCTTACTTAATCACTTGATCATTTCCATTATATTCTTTTTCTAGTAAATTTATTTTAAAGTGATTCTAACAAAGGCACACTTTATTTTTTTTCTTCTGGCTTTAGTAAGATGGTTGATCTACTAATAGAAGGAAATATCTTTAAATACTGTTTTTTCCTGCTTTGTCCTCCTGTATTTCCAATTTTCACTTTTGAATTTTCTATTTCTATAAAAAGGTTGTATAAATCAGTCATTTGATTGGCTGCATAGTCCTTTATCCCTTGAGATAAAAGTCACTATGAAGTATAGTGAGTTTAGCCTGAAACATCTCCAATAGTAAAATGGAAAGGAAAATGAAGGTGTGAGTCATAAAGCTGGAACTCCTCATTATTCAAGTATCTGAAAAGCAAAGATTATATTCTGCTGATACAGTGCTGGTAGAAGAAATGGAGGACTAGAAAGGCCAACTCAGAGTACTTGCTTTTCTTGTATATTTATATATGTTCATAGGTAGTTCTGTAGGGTGAAGAATTGTGAAGCTCCATTTCTGCTACATCTGCACTAGAAAACCTGTCAGCATACCTCCCTGCATATGTAGACTATATATACATACACACTGCATATCACAGACCTAAAGACAAATGCTAAGACAGTGCAATTTGCAAGTCATTCTTATAAGAGAGTCTCAGGGCTACATCAGAATTATTTTTACAGGGTTAGAATATTTCATAAAATCGGCAAACATTATAATTTTTACTAGATGTTTATGAAAACAAGTGAGCTGCTCCCTCCAAAGAAAACACAATTTTCAGTTAGAAATAAGTGCTAACTCTGCCTGTCTTTTCATCAGTGGTAGCACATTCCATGTATTTTTGTGCAATTTTTCAGTTGTGTGTTTCAATTCTTGAACAATTATAATCTAAAACAAATAGTCTTTGAGAGCCTTCTAATCCTTCCTTAACCACCTTTTTCTGCTTCAGTAATCAGATTTTCTGAATGCATGTTCTGGCCAATTGGACTACCATAACCCTCCACTTTAAACTTTGGTATTTGCAACTGCTGTTCACACACACACACATACACACACACACACACACACAATTAATGAAATGTGGTCACTTTACAGTAAAACCAAAAATATCTGTGCAATTCACATCTTAAAGGGGCTGTTTCATTGATATCCTACCAACAAACATATCTATTTATGCAAGCAATAGTACATCCGCTTACCCTAAGATATATTTAACACCTACTGTATCATTCATTGTGTGGATAGGTTAGGTTGCCATGGTTTCTATGAGAATTCCTCTGGAGAATTAGAGATTTGTCACTTCTCTAGATATATTTTTATGAATAGCTTAGCTTCTTCTATTCACTCTCAACTGTGTATGAGAGATTTATCTTAAGGATCCTAGAGCTGACTTTTTAAAATAGGTTTTATTCTCCTTAGTAATAACAGAAATGGTTCTAACCAGACTTCCACCTTCTTCAGACTTATGCCTACCACAAGGTAATAGAAGCAGGACCAGAACAAAATAAATAGATTATTGTCTTCTTTATTTATTCATTCATGAAATATTTATTGAATGCCCAGGATCCTAAGGGCTATGCTAGACATTGGGTGTAAAAATATAAATTATATCTTGTTCTTGCCCTTGGGGAGCTCAAAGTCTAGTATGTTTTGTTTTAATAGGCATATATTGTTGTAAGAGAGGTACACAAAAAGTGCTGTAGAATGTAGAGCAAAGGTCCTGCACAATTATTTTTGTAAAACTCTTGCTAGAGACATAAACAGATAAATTTCTAGAAAATATTTATAATTTTTTTGTTTATTACTTTCATCTTCAATTAACTGCTTTGCTTCTTTATCTTGAAGCAAATGTATATTGATACAGATTATGTTTCTGCAGAGGGAAAAAGATTGGATCTTTAGGGACAGAAAAATAAATGCCCCTGTCTTTAAAGTACATTTGGGAGGCCGAATTCTCTCTCTGCTTATTTACCTTCCTGTTGGGGGATTCTGAAAACCCTCCCTTCCATCAATCAGACCTAAGTGACAACTTAAAGACCTTCTTTTCTGTAGATATCAACAATCTCCACTTCTGCTCCCTTCCTCATCTTTTCTGTTCTTTTTTGACATCTAGCTATAACCTATTCCATGCCATTGCTCTTCCAGACATTCTTAAGGAGTCTTTTTTGTACTCCAGCTCCTCCTAAAACCCACCTTTGTTCTGATGAGCCATTCGACTCTACTTTGGAAGATCTCTGAAAGATCATGAAGTATATCTTTGAGTAAATAATTGACTAAACATTGTTGTATATCTAAATGAGTTCCCACCTCTATACCCTGGGTGATTTTTTTCAATCCTGAAGTCACACATATCTCTTCTCTTCAGAAAGCTCATTCAGTTAGAAGAAGTACACTGGGAGACCGCAAGCAGAGTCTTCTCCAAGATGTTCAGGGAAATAGAAATCAACCATTGAATTTTTTTCTTATAAAAAATTTTGACAGTCTGTTCATCGATGTCCTGATTTCCTTTGAATTCTCCCATAACTACAATCCAGCCAAACCATCTTTTAACACCAGTCTGCAAAGAGGAATTTGAGACACTGTGTATACCTCTGCTACTCATTTTCCCTCTTCAGTTGTCCCAGAGGTCACTAGTAGACCAAATAAATAATCAAGCTCCTGGTTTCTATAGATGCAAAGGTGG